TTAAGACAATGCAACTATATATCTACCCCAACCACTTTGAATACACAGATACAGAATGGACATTCATCGGTGTACCCCATTTTTCCTAAGTTCCGTTACTGAATATTATAGCTGTGTAAACTCAGCAAAATATTCTAAAAAACTCTTTTTTCTTTCTTTCTTTCTATTTTCTTTTTCTGACCTAGGGATTGAACTCGGGCCATTGTGCTTGCCAGGGAAGCACTTATTCTACTGAGCCATCTCCCCGGCCTGAGGATCATTTAAACTCAGTGTGATACACAATGTCTAGTATTTTCTAGAAATGGTTCTCATATTCTTGGGTAAAACACATAGAATAACTTGTCAAGGACACGTTTATGACACTGCCTGCCATCCAGGGGAAGACATTACCTGCCAGGGGGGAAACATCATCATGTGTCTATTTCTCATTGGTGGCTTTTGTACTTCAAAAATCATTGCATGGAGGGCATGGGCCACCACATACACAGTGTTGTATATATTGGAGCTCCTTTCATTCATGGCTGTATCAAAACGATTCTGAGGCAACCAAGTGAGAGAGGCATTAGGGGTACAGTTCTTCAAGGAGTAGTCAGACTCAGAGAGTGAGCAATCAAAGTTTTTGGACCAATACATAAAGAGGTAAGTGTCTTCTGGATTTTTGAAAGGGGTAGCTGCCTGGACAAAATTTTTGAAACCTGAAATCTCTTGGTGGCTATGTGAAAAAACAAGAATCCCATGGAATGAATCTAGTAGGAAATCTCTCCCAGTCAAGTCAGCATGCCACTGTGAGTTTGTCACCCAGACTTTCCATGTCACTAAATGTTGCATTATATTATAACTTATATCATTTCCTATATTATTATCATAGTACATGACCACCACATTGGCTGATGATGTATCTGCACTCAGGATATCATGCTTCTGTAAGGCAGAAACATATGACATAGCCACAGTGGACACCATTTTCACAAAGGCTACACAGACTCTGTTCCTGTCCATCTCAGCTCTTATATCTGAGAGAAACAGAAGACCCTTATGGCCTTCTGTAATAAGAAGGCCCACCCAGGTCCAGCGGAAATGAAGCATCAAGGATACCATGGCAAGGGCCAAGTAAGTGTCCTTTGGGGCCACCTGATGGATAGAAGGATACTGGCCAGTGTCAGTCAGTGTAGGATCAAATGAGCCAAAGGTAACCTAAAAAGAAAAGAAAATTGGGAGAAAATACTGAGAATATTGATGAAAAGCACAGTTGACCTGAAGCATATTTAGAACAATTGGCTGTACAGAAAACACATAGTCCAGTCTTTCTAACCACATCACACCTTATATACTTTTATAAAATGTAAAAGAACAGACTCAGACATCCAAAACATATCTTTGCTCTCTCTCTTAAATGCAGAAAAAGGTTAGTTCAGTAAATTGCTGTGTTAACTCTGGTGCATTAAACACTTATTAAGAGGCCTAATGCCAGTCCCTTTTTGGAACCTTTTCACTCCTTGTAGTTTCAGCACTGTTGCTGCTGTTTCATGTTTACCTGTTCCCTGAGCCCTCACCTGTGGAAATCTGTAGAGCTCCAGCAGTGGCCCAATCTGAGCCAAGGTTCCACCCAGCATTTCTGTCAGGACTGCTGCACACTTGCTTTCTCTCCCACAAGTGTAATTAGGGATCTCATGTTGTCCTGTGAGCAAAATGAAGGAATTGTCTAGTATCCTCCAATGACTGGAAATAAAATTATGGAACTCATAGCCCAGAGAAATGTTGGGTAAAAGGTGAGGATTCATATTGATCTCTTCTATGGCAAAAGTGAAGGCCAGGTAGTTCTGGTAGTTGCTGGGCATCAGCCTGCATAGAGAGCACAGAGGTCCTTAGGGCAAAGACTCAGTCAGTGGTTATCTCCCAAGCCAGTGCAACACTATTTATGACCTGAATGCTTGTGTTGCTCTCCCACACTCCTTTCATGAGAACCTAAACATGGATATAATTCCACTGAAAGTTTAATTTTTCGAAAGTAATTAGAATTAGATGTGTCACTGAGGTCAATTTCTCATTAACAAATTCAGCGTCCTTACAAAACTTGAGGAAGTGTTACTTCATGGTTTTACTGTGTGAGGTCCTTTGACAAGACTGTCACACAAAAACTAGAAAATAAATTATCACTTGATCTTTCTCAGTGTGTGAAACTATTAAAATTAATGAGCTCTGATTTAGACTCCCCTTTGCTTATCATTTTTAGGCAGCAGGCTGAGAACAGCAAAATCACTACTTTCAGAAAAACAAAGTATATTTATATTCTCTTTGGAAGAGCTGGCTCTAATGAAATCTTAGAATTTATAGTTGCTCCAAGTAGACTAACACTGGCTTTAGAAGGACCTCTTTACTTCCATATAGTTGGAGGAAAATTTGAAAAGCCATGATTGCATGCATGTTGGACTTTGTACATGGTCTTTAGCATCAAGAATTAAAATAATTTAGAGTCCTAGCCCAGGTCCGGTGAGTGTGCGGAGAGTTTCCTGCTACCCTGCGCCGGCGGGACCAGTCCCAGCCCAGGTGCAGCGTGGGCCGGACCCTCTTCCAGCCCCTCGGGCCGCCCCCCACCACTCCTCAGTGCCTCCCCCACCCCGCCCGCCGAGTAGGATTTTCTGCCAAGTTCCGGGAGCCCCCAGACCCAGTCCTA